TTATACAGCCGAGACTTATGCGAGGATCTTCATTCGGGAGATAGTTCGACTTCACGGGGTCCCGGACACGATCGTGTCGGATCGAGGATCGGTTTTCACTTCACATTTTTGGAGGAGTTTCCAGGACTCATTTGGCAGCACGCTATCTTATAGCAGTGTATTTCACCCGCAGACGGACGGTCAGACGGAGAGGGTGAATCAGGTATTGGAGGACATGTTGAGGGCATGTGTCATTGACTTCCAAGGCAGCTGGGAGGATCATATTCCATTGGTAGAATTTGCTTATAACAACAGTTATCAAGCGACGATCGGCATGGCTCCGTATGAGGCATTGTACGGGAGGCCCTGTAGATCACCGATATGCTGGGCAGAGCCGGATGATAGTTTGATGCTTGGGCCAGAGCTTGTGAGGCAGACTACTGAGAAGGTAGCATTGATCAGAGAGCGGATTCTAGCTGCTCAGAGCCGGCAGAAGAGCTATGCAGATAAGAGGCGAAGACCACTAGAGTTCCAGATTGAGGATTTGGTTATGCTAAAGGTATCGCCTATGAAGGGCGTGCAGCGATTCGGGCGATGGGGGAAGCTTGCGCCGAGATATATTGGACCATTCCAGATTTTGGAGCGCATTTGTCTACTATTGAGATTCCAGTGTCTATTCTTGCTAGAGAAAACAAGAGACTCAGGAACAAGGTGATTCCATTGGTGAAAGTTCAATGGAACCGAAGTGGAGTTGAGGAAGCTTCTTGGGAGCGCGAGGAGGACATGCGACGCGACTACCCACATTTGTTTGATCAGGTAAATAAATTTTATGACAAGTGCCTTATATTATGTTGATATATTTGGTTAGATCTATTTAACACTAGAATGAGAATATCTTCGCCCAATTCTTAATCTTTTGGAACACATGGTATATGTATGGGGGGTTCCTTGTTTGGATTTTTCACCCGATGTACTAGTTCCATTAGATTAGGGCTTGAGCGGGAATATTATCATTTTGGACGGTTAAGTATAAATATCCATGTGCGCTCATCTAGAATTTCATATTTCGAGATGAGTATGATTTCCAAATTTCGAGGACGAAATTCTTTTTAGGGGGGAAGAATGTAGAACCCCGTAAATTTATTAATGAATATTTTGAGTTATTAGTGGTAAACATTTCTTTTGAGATGAACAACCATATATATATGTTAAATAAATGTGATAAATAGTGTTTGGGAGCCTAGCAAGAATTTCTATGTTAGAGAAATCAAGGGGATTGATCAGCATGTGATAGAAGGCATAGCAGGCAGTTGTTCTGCTGTGCGGTCGACCGCGATGTGCGCGGCGGTCGACCGCACAGCAGTCGGGCACACAGGAGATTTTTCTCCTGCTGTGCGGTCGACCGCACAAGGCGCGGCGGTCGACCGCACAGCAGGCAAAGAGTTTTTCTGTGTTGGGTCTTAATGGGTTTCGGGTCGGGTTCGGGTCGGGTTGTGGGGTTAGTATATATACTATCATACCCTAAAGAGCCCCATTTCTCATCTGAAATCAGAACCCTAGCCCCCTCTCTCCCCCTCAAACCCTAGTTCTCACTTCTTGGTGATTTGGGAGGAGCTTTGAAGGGTTTTTCGGCGGATTTTGGGTGGATTCAGCGAGAGGGACCATCTTCCTTCAGATCTAGGGCGTTGCTTTCATCAGAGGCGAGTAACATCTCGCCCAACTTCACCTCTTTTCGTTTTCATGCAAAAATTTGGGTTTTTAATCATGTTTTATTGGGCCAAAAATCGTATTTCATGTAAATATAGTAGATCACTATGGCATAATATGTGAAGATCAAATATTTCGGATTTTTAAAGCTTCAACTTTTGAGATCCAGATCTGAAAATGTTTTTAACAAATTTAATCATGTTTATACTGTTTTAAAGACATCTAAATCATGGTTATATGCTTGGGATTTTAAATGATAGATTTTAAATGTTTAAAATTGGTAGTTTCCTGTTCTATGACCTGGATTAAATGTTAATTTTAAGTTAGTGCAGAAATCGTCAAGGGTGGTTGGGATTTGAAGCCGACAGAAACCCTAACTGGGCTTCTGTCAGCTTCGCGGTCGACCGCAGTGGACGCGGCGATCGACCGCCCCAAGATTTTTCCAGCAGAAAAGCTTCTGCTCTTTGAGCGGTCGACCGACATGTCCTCTGCGGTCGACCGCCGTTCAGTTTTGAACACAATAACTTTTGACGCTGTGAGCGGTCGACCGGAGTGGCCTCTGCGGTCGACCGCCGCACAATTTTGTGCATGTTGATCCCTTATTGATCTTTTCGCGTGTTCGAGAGATCACCTCTTTTATCTCACACTGGTTTGCGATGTTAGTGACTTATCTACACATGGGAATTGACTGTGATACGAATTTAGACCCGCACATTGAAACACGTGCACAGTTGGGACATGTATATGTATTTCCACATATGCTAGTGAGAATTACACTTCTTCGTTCATAGTCCACGTGTTGAGCATGCATTATTATTGATCCATGTGTTGGATACTTGTCATCTTGGTCCATGTGTTGGACATGCATTTTATTTCAGTCCATGTGTTGGACCTGCATCCCTTTTAGTCCATGTGTTGGACATTTTTGCTAAACCTTGAGCATGGTACACATTTGAGTTTGGGACACGACATTTTGATACCGATGAGACATGATAGCTACCTAGGCTGGGTACGACACTTATGTAGAATACGGCATGGTATTTATGTAGGTCAGTACAAGGTACTGTATTTATGTTCTGAGATGGGATGTATTTCCTTATTACTTATTTCTGTTCACTTATTGGACTCCGGGTTTGGTACTTAGGGACTTTCAATTTGGGATATAAGGTATATACATGAGGGTTTTCTTGTCTGGATTATTTCTCTCGACGTACCTATGCCCGTGTTGAAACTTCCTAAGTACTAAAACCTATTGTTTATTTTTAGGATAATTGATTTTATATATATGTATTTTGTGATAACTGTATTTCCTTATACAACGAGCCCTCTCCCTTGGGGTTGGTTGTGATGTTGCTCGCTAGCGCTTTTACGCTCGTTGTCCCTCCCCCTTTCAGGTCACGAGCCAGGAGCCCGGAGAGTCGCAGGTTGATGGCGACACACTTTAGTGTTCGACTATCTATTCTAGCTATGCTTTATTTTGGGAGCTCCACTATAGACTTTGCTTATGCATTTGAGAACTTTATTCTAGATGTTGTAAAGGCTGTGTGCCTTATTTCCTTTATTCAGACTTGTTGTATTTGAGATGTATTAAGAACTTCAGTTTGTTCATTTCAGATATTGACCTTGTATTCCTGTATGTTGGATGATGGAATACTATTTGATCTCTATCTTTTCATCAGTTATCTCTTGTAGTATCTTTTACTTGCTTTTGTACCTACACCTATTATTGACCCACTAGAGTGATAAAATTGTGATGGTGAAACATGTTATTGTACGGTGTAGTGCATGGCAGGTTTGACATCCTTGGTTTCACCTCGGACTGCAGTCTTGTGTGAACCCAGGGGCGTCACAAATCAATACTCCCATATGACAAAAAAAGACAACTATTACACACCCAACAACAACCTTGATCTCTATTCAAACAATAACAATCCTTGATCATGAAGGAGAATTTTTCACATTGAAGCCCATTAAACAAGCGTATTTTTATTTTAAAGTGACATAGTACTCCTGAAGGACTTTGCTAATTGATTTATTTTCGCTTGCTTCTATAAGCAATTTTATAACTAATTTTCCATTCTTTCCAATTATAAATCCTACTCTCCTAAGTCCTAGGTAGCAAACAAATGATTGTCTTCCAATTTAGATGTTACGGGCATAAACTAGTTGTTGGCCAAACACAAGTTTAAGCTTTTGCACAGTGTGTCACCAACATGGCAACATGATAGGAGAAAACCATGAGTAAAAGGTAACAGGGTGCAAAATGTAAATTACCAACCCCATTGTGGCTTTCTATGCTCTGATTTCTTCTCTCTCCGATGATCTCTCATGTTATTTTCACTTCTGACTAGAATTTTCAGTTTTTTCCTCTCTTCTTTTGTGATTGGTTTATGAATTCCTCTAAAAAATGAATCATTTTTCAAACTCCCTCAAATAAATTTCTGATATCTTACATGCAGTTTAAATTTTCAAAAAGTCCATACACTAGCTACATAAAGGTTCATCTGTAATAAGCTTTCTTTTTTCCAAACTCCTTCAAATAAATTTTGATATTGATCTTTCTTGACAAGCAGTTTAAATTTCAAAAAGTCCTCACACTCTAGCTTCGTAAATGTTCATCTGTAAGAAGCTTTCTTCCACTTATTTGGAAGAAAAGCAAAATAAACAGACCTTAAAACTTTGCCACAAGACCTGTCATAGATTAGTTATCCTCATGGAAATAATCTACAATAACACTTAGGATAACAAGTAGGTGGCAGCTTCTTTTAGTTAGATCTTAAGTAATTAGGTTACTTGAAAGATAAAAACTCTCTCCTACTTACAATATTTAGTAAGATCTTAAGTAATTAGGATTACTTGAAAGATAAAACTATAATTAGGATTACTTGAAAGATAAAAACTATAATTAGGATTACTTGAAAGATAAAAACTATCCCCTACTTACAATATTTATCAACATGGAAAACAACATCCTGGCACAACCCTACTCTCAGCCCAGGCCCTAGCTTCTGTTGTATGCATACCCGAGTCTCATTCCCAACTCAACTCATTTTGAAACAATGATAGAGCATAGTTTCGACAATTATCACACTAGCAAGAAGAATGAAGCAAACTAAGACAGTTTGATAAGTGAAGTTGTAATTTCAAGCTGGTGAAAATCAAAGGTCACTAGTAGCGTCAGTTGCGGTGCTACAATCTCGTATGATGCCAAGAATAAATAAGAATTATAATTAATCCACAAACAGTGCAAACACCTACACTAATATCTGAATTAAAAACATGTAGCCAGATAAGTAGATAGAGATATAGCTAACCTGAGAAAGTGGATGCCAGGCAAGAAACGACGGCTGAAGAGACTTTAAGCAGATGCAATAATGATATATTGAAAGCCATGTTAACAATTACAAATAGCAGAGGTAGCACTGGTGCACCTTGACATCCTGCAACCAGAAACTAATTTAACAACACTGCAAGTTCTTGAGCTAGTCTTTTAACTGGGAGCTAAAATTAATGAAAACACAAATAATAGAGGAAGCAGAATACTTCTAATATTTTATACTGCAAAGTAGGACACCTGCTAGCTCCTGAGAACTTAATAATAACCTATGTTACATGGGTACGGGTACGGGATACGGTAAATTCGTAAAAGGTACGGGAACACGGCTATATAGATAATTATATACACATATATTATGTATTGGAGTTAATAATTTATATGAGAACAATGATGAGAATTAAAATTCCTATAACATTTTTATGTTTCTATTATTATGTGGATTATAAATTGGAAAATCACTAGTTTTTGAACTAGACATCCAAACGACCCTTGAAAAATCATAATTTGGAACATGTCTATGTCCAATGACTTTCAAGAAGTGGATGAGAAATATAAGATATATCATACTTCCTTTAAAAACACGAGTTTGGGAAAATCTTTTCTTGGTCAATATTACCCTTCACTTTTCTAGATATTTTATTTAAATCTTAATCTACCATAATCATAATTATATCCTATCTTAATCCCGCGTGAATTACCTATAGCTCAATAATTAAAAAAAAGATAAAGTTATATGAAATATTACAACAATAATAAAAAAACCCAAAAAGTTTTTAAAAATGCACAAAAATACTCTCAAATATTTAAAATTACAAACACCATCACACATCAAAACTTAAAATAATAAACATGAAATTTAGAAATTAACTGTATCCTCCGAAGAATTTAAAATTTATAATTAGCACCCTCAATGTTTTAAAAATTATAGAAACACCCTCAAAATTTTCAATTATAAAAAAACACCCTCAAAACTTGCGAACAACATAGATGAATTCTAGGGATTACCATCAAACTTGACCATAGATTCCCCTTTTCCCACCATAAAAAATTCTTTGTCGCATCAATTAAGCCTCGGGTATAATAGAGAAAGATAATACCATATAAACACCAATGAGTTTAAATGATTATAAAAAGGTAAAGAAATAATAAGTAGCTAACATACTATAATACGTGAATTACAGTCAAAAAACTAAAAAGTTTCAAAAATTGCACAAAACACCCTCAATAGTTCAAAATTACACAAAACATCTTGACTTTTCAAAACTTAAAACAACGAACATAAATCTAGAAATTAGTAGTAGCCCCCTAAAATTTTAAATTTGCAATTAACACCCTCAATTTTAAAAATTGTAGAATTATTCTATGATGTTAGTAATATTCAGTAATATTCATAGGGTAAAAAAAATTTAGGTATAGCCCATTCAAACAAACATTAAAGAAGATAAATAATCAAAATATTAAATTTTAGAGACATAAGTGACTAAAAAATATCAAATTGAAATTAAAGAATAAATTTTGGTAAGGAAATAAACTAAATATAAATAATTATAATATTTAACCACGTGCGGTACACGTGCATAAAAACTAGTGTCCAAAAATGTAAGACAATTGTTTTTAGAAATTAAAACATGTATTGCATAATTGAGCACATGCCCAAATAAATGCATGCATACATGCAAAGAGTGTCCAACGAGTTTGGGTACGGATATGGGTATGTATATGGATACGGGTAAGGATACAGGTATGGGTGCGGTTGCGGTTTCAGATTACAAGAACCCAGGTAACAAAGATAATAATGATCAAAAGCATCATGCCAACTATCAGAAAGCATTTATCTGACATTTATCTGATAATTGTACAAGAAAATGCAGATGTTCAATAATTTAAAAAACTTAAAATATTTAACAGATAATTTCAGTAATGAGGAGTTTATTGATTTATATGATTACATTTATTATAAAATCCTGAAATGTTGATATCTATTCCTGCAAAACAGTAGGAGACTAGGAGCTAACAAAGGTTTCATGCATGCAGGAAAAAAAAAAGAAACTGTTCTAAAGAACTTATGAGATGAGATCAAGTCTGTACATGAGAAGGAACATGCATAAATAGACAAGGCCAACGTATGCCAATTAATGAGTAGAATTTTTGTCAGGTTCTGGCTGACAAAAGTTAGAAAATACACTGGATTTACAAAAATGCCAAATAATAACTTGAAATAGATATTAATTTTATTCAGTGATAACAAATTCGTAGGATATTGAAGTACTGAGTGTCAGAGCTGAATTTTACTAGAAACACTGTGATACGAACCGTTAGACAATGATCCTAAATTGAGAAAGCAGGCTGCTCCATCTTTAATATATGTTGGTAGCTGAGTGAACGGAACACCCCATAACTTAGATAATACAGGGAGAAGCAGACAAATAAAGAGTGCCTGCATATAAGAACAAACAAAAATGTAATAATTTAATAAAGAGAGAAACCAGATGAAAGGCTCAAAGAGAAGTCTGCGAAAAGTTAATTCAGCTCAAATAATGTTCAGAGAGTAAGTCTTACTTGATAAGCAGATCCAAAAGAGTTCACAACAAAAATATCAACTGAACCACCCTACAGTACAAAAGTGTCATTACTTAGTTTGTTTTAATAAATCAGTAATAATCCTCGTACTGGTGAAATGAAGAGCATGACTTTAGAAAAATTTGTTCCGTGAGTCCTTGAATAAAGGAAAGATGCAAAAGTACCTTCAGTTGCTTGTTAGCATCCAAGAATATTATTTCCTACCAGTGGCAATGAGAGACATATAAAACATGTTAGAATTGAGAAATTAGTGAAGAGATTCTTATCAACTAAGCGTTATATGACAATAACCTTCACAACTGCGTCAGCTGCTTGAAACAGAAAAGAGGTGACCATCAGAAGTATCCAAAAGAGTCCACCATTTCCCAAACTAAGACCAGCACCTGATCCACTGTGGTCAGAGAGCAAAAATCAAGAAACAAGACCATGTATACATTGAAAAACAATCTGTCAAAGGAACTCTCAACGTGTTAATCAACTGAAAGAATTTCCAATATTATGTTCTGAATAAGAATGATCAGGAATCAAACGACACTGATGTATGAGACTGACTAGACATTGTTAGCTTACAACCTATTATTTTGGTAAAGTGATCACATGACAAGGCCCACTTGCATAATGTTGGACTGGGTCATATTAGCTGGATTCTGTCAGGTTCAGAGGGGTATGGATTGCATTAGATCAAGTCAAGTTTCTTAAATGAGCCAACACAATGGAGGAAGAAATACCATAAGTAATGGCACATGCCTTGGAAATAATTCACTGAGTAACAAATTTGATATTCTTCCTCAGTAGACTGACTTTTAACCGGACAAGCTGAAATTCTTATTAAAATGAAAATTACCTAGTTACTGTTATAATTACGCCGATAGCAACAAGAAAACATCCAAAAATTTGATTGGCTCGATATCTTCTTCCAAGGAAAATGGCTGACAAGAAAAGCTGCCAAACAAGGAAGGTCTGCACAAGAACAAAGAAATAATGTTACTGAAATTATTCTGTTTCTCAGTTTAATTCTCTGTTTAACTAAAGGGACAATATGATCTATCTATTAGTTATATTACCTGAGATAATATTGGTATCGATGCCCCAGAAAGAACGGCTGTCCTAGGGAAAATGGAAAAAAAACATGTAAGGCTTTTTTCCAGGGGTCTATAGAGGGGTAAAAGAATTTGCAGATAAAAGCATAGCAAGAACGCAACCTTTAAACCATTCACACAATGAGGATGTCAGCCAGTCAGGACTAGAGCAAAAAAAATTTGGTGGACGATGTGAGGCCAAAGAAAAGCATAGAGATACTAAGTTAATAGTAGCAGCTTCCTCTCTTTTACCACTAAATGAAGGTTGTTGCAATGCAGAACTTTGAATTTAGAAGGATCCACATAGAATCAGACAAATTCCATTAGCAGTTACCAACCAAATGTCAGATATCTAAGTTGTGTCACATACATTGCGAAGGGCATTATGTACAAGAGGGAATCTAGAAAGCAGCTGAATGTTGATAGATAGGAAACTTACCTCATTCAATATGCAGTTTACACTCAACCATAGATAAAGGATTAGAAAGAAGATGAAAAGATTTTAGCGGCTTAAATAAGTTAAAGTGGGTGCCAATGTGCCATAGGTCAAGATTTTGTTGCAAGTGCAGGTATAAAACTTGGCACTGTTAAAGAGATGAATGGATTATCATGATATTTGCGGCAGACAGCAACTAATGTAACCAGCAGAAAATATTGATGCATATCTATGACAAATCAGATGTCTAGTTCATTACAAAAAACGTCTTCATATAGAAAACTTCTACAACACCAAATTAATGACTACAAGTATGAATAAATCATACTCCCTTTAAAAGTACGAGTTCGGGAAAATCTTTACATGGTCAATATTACCCTTGACTATTTTTAATATTTCATTTAAATTTTAACCTGTTATAATCATAATTATATTACATGGTCAATATTACCATTGACTATTTTTAATATTTCATTTAAATTTTAATACGTTACAATCATAATTATATCTTATCCTAATCCCATATGAATAACTTGGAGGTCAATAATTTAAAGATTAATATGCTATAATGTATTAAGTATTACAAAAAAACCCCAAAAAGTTTTAAAAATTGCACAAAACTACCCTTAAAAGTTTAAAATTACACAAAACGTCTAGACGTTTCAAATCTTAAAACAACAAACATAAAACCCTCAATATTTTAAAAACTATAAAAACACGCTCATAAGTTCAAATATTAAAAAAGCACTCTGAAATTCTAAAATTTCAAAACTTGCGAACAACAAAGATGAATTCAAGGAATTACCATCAGGCATTAAAAAAATTAAAATTTGTAAAAAAATAAACTTAAAGTTATAAAAATTATAAAAAACTCTTTCAAAAATTAAAAAAGACAGAAAACCCTAAAATTTAAAAACTTATAACCAATACATATCAAATCTCAAAATTATCAGCAGACCGCTAAAATTTTAAATTTTGCAACAAACAATTTAAAGTTTTAATAATTATAAAAATACCCTCAAAATTCAGAGTTGCAAGAAATATTCTGACATTCGAAAACTTACTACCACCACATGAAACATGAAAATTACAAGCACCTAACTTAAAATTTAAATTTTTTTAAAAAACACTTTCAAAGTTTCAAAGTTTGCAAAACACACCCTTAAAATTCAAAATCACAAAACACGACTAAAATTTCAAAACTTAGAAAAAAAATAGTTGTTTGATATTCTTTCATTAAGATATGTGACTTTTAATTTAAGGTTTTACTATCCTTTTTCAGCATCTAAAAGTAGTCTAATTTTATCGAAAAAGATAAAGGTGGAAAAGAATTGATAATGTCTCAATAAAAAATAAAACAGAAGGAATGAAATACACTATTTTCTGAATAATATAGTTATTTTTGAGTAAATTAGGAATCTTTAGAAGGGATTTTCATAAAAAAAATTTAGTACTTTTATATGCTTATGTGGATGCTTTCATTATATAAAAGTATACTAGATTTAGCATTAATTTTTAGTTTATGATTTTTTTAAAGTCTATTAAGGATTAAGAACAAACTCTAAATTATCTTTTGTGTCATTTTAGCCCACTTGTAACCAATCATCTTGTCTTATAAGCTTTAATTATTTAATTTTCTTTTAGAACGCTATTTTTTGAAGTGTTTTTCACTTTTGTAATGCTATACTTTCTCAGGTCAAGCTTGGTTTCATGTCGGTCTCAGTGACATGATAATTCAAATTGATTTCGGATTACATTATTTCTTGTCAATTCAATTATCAATATAAAAATTTAAATTGGGTGCAGTTCATTTAAACAAACATTAAAGAAAAAAATAATTACAATGCTAAAGTTTAGAGATATAAGTAAGCAAAAACCATCAAAGTGGAACCGAAGAACAAGTTTTAGTAAGGAAATAAACCAAATATATTTAATCATGATATTTAACCACGGCATTGCACGTGCATAAAACCTAGTAGTACCTATATGTCCAGGTTATCACCAAAAACTTCTACAACATCAAAATTAATAACTACAAGTATGAAGAGATAGCAATAGGTTTCTAACATCTTAGCAACAGCTGGCATACAAATTGACTTGCACCAAACCAATGCCCACTAGAAAGTCTTTTGCTATTTTTAAAACAATCGGATAACATGTAATAACAGTGGCTATAATGTACCTCCAGCAGCCATCATTAATGCTGCTGCCAGTGCCTCTAGCAGTCCTACGAGCACATATGGAGTCTTTGGTAGAGAAAGCATTTCATCGGTAACAATTCCCGCTTTATAACGGAAATACAGAATGGAAAAGTACGCCACCACATAACTGACAACAAAGCAGAAGGTCAGAGATCGAGAATTTTTGTAAGTATAATGCAATAACTTGAAGAGTTAGATCCGTAAACCTTCAAAAGTACCAAATTACTTTATCAGAATAGAGAATTGAATAAAATACAGATAATTATAATAACCGCCAGTCAACAAAGATAATAGTACATGGTTTTGCATCCAGGTAAATACAGGACAAATATCACTGTCTCCATACATTCAGCCAAAAGTTCAGACACCTCCTGCTTACCCTCATTTTGCACAAAAATATACCAGTATTCATGAACTCTGGCCTATCAGCTTCTTCATCCATGCGGTATAACTCCAAATGTGGAAACCTCTTTCCTTCCCTTTTTCAACGAAGAACAAAGCAATAACTCCCAAGATACCTAACCAACTTAACAACAAAAAATCACCCCAAACCCAAACAAACACAAGAGAGGGCATGAATAAAAAACACAGAGAGCCAGAACATTTCCAATAAATTCCCATTGTACACTAAATTTTTTCCACATAGTGAAATTCATATAATAATCACACTGACATCTCTAACTGAGCATCATATTATGTTCTACCCATATCACATATTGACACATTCTTACCACTCATAAACTAGCTAAACTAATCATGTACATGTATCACCACTGAAAAAAATAATTAAGAGAGAATGAGTTTTACATACCAAACCCAAATCCTCAATAAATAAATAAATACGGAAGGGACCCAATAGTAAAGGTTATACGACTTTCAAGAAGAGGGTCATCATGGCGTTATGTTAGCTAAGAGACAGATCCTTTTTTTTTTTGGTTGGGGGCACATATACAATCAAACATATATAAATTACTAGTGGTGAGGAGTAATCGAGCCCAATCAAAGTTAATGGGCCTTAAACAGAGGCTAGTAACCAATTTTAACCAAAAAACTATAGCTACTTGATATTGGCCCTAACTCCTATTTTAAACCTACCACTCTTACTTATCCTATCTAAGGTGGGGCTATATTCACACATAAAATATCCAACAATTTCCCCTTCATTTGGGGGTATAGTTCAATGTTTCACAAGATTCACTAACTTGGTCTGAACTATCAACCGTACATTCGGCATACGACTATCTAACATCCGTAGGATCTTCTACCACCTGTGGGCTACACAGACTCTATCACTCCTATGGCCATCAGTGGGTTGAGTTGGTCTAACTTGGATCTTTCTAACCTTAGTCATTCTCCCAACGCCTTCAAGACCTTTAAGTTTCACATTAGACTTCACTTTTACTTAGACCACAACATTAGCTTTGATATCATTTGTTGGCGAGTAATCGGGCACAATCTAGAGTTAATGGGCTTTAAATAGAGGCTAACAACCAATTTTAACCCAAAAGCTACCGCTACTATGTATTGGCCTTAAGTCCTATTTTAAACCTATCACTCTTTCTTATCCTATCCGATATGGGACTATATTCACACATGAATATCCAACAACTAAGTTGTATAATACAAACTCTACCGATAGAAAAAATTATTTACACAACAATCACAAAAATCTTGACACATAATACATTTTTTCATTATTATTTTCGTATCAATAAATAACCATTCATTTTCACCACAAAAACTAATAAATACTACAAGTTCCAACAATAGTCCTTTATGATTATTCACTCCATGGTCATCTCATTAGTTTGTATTGGGGCACCTATTTACACTTTGGATCCATCCATGAGCTTCATGATTGATTTTCTTTTGGCTTTTCCTTTTAAATGAAATGCTTGAAATCAGTAGAGTAGGGATCAATTAATCAATGACTTTAGTCTATTTCTACTCAAATAAAATATACTATAATCACAAAGGTTTTAATTTTTATTGTCGTTAAAAGATAAATATCTATGCTCGTCAATTTGTGCTACTTTTATTGTGTGAAGCCAATTAGCAACTGATTTCCGTTTCTCTTAATATGAAATGCTGGATGTCCTTGATTATCTGTTGATAAAAAATATATATATTCACTAAGACCAAGTGCTCATCTCCCTCGTCACTTAGAGCCTATTGTATATGTACAAGCTATACATGGAGCCTCACTCTACTTTATCAAGGTTTCTCTGTTACCATTTTGGTCAAGCTGGAATTGTAGAAACAATAACACCATTCAACACAGAAAAATGTTACCTATGACAATGGATGCTCTTAAGCTGATGGTGTGACAATACGCCAACTTGCATGACCAAAAAGGCAAAAACCCTATGTAGTTTTTGGTCTAATTAATCTTTTGTATTTCTATTCCATGTGCAGGTGAATTTATCCTCTACCACCTATCGATGTTTCCACATTACCTCTTTAAATGATCAAGTAATTTTAGACAATTTAACATCAACACCCTCCACCATGGTCATATTCAGAACCCAGGTTTAAAATGCAAATACTCCCAGCTACACTTAAAGCTTCCATTACGCTGCAATTCTTTGGCTTCACCTGAGCACACTCCTATTTCACCTCAAGTGTCTTGTCTTTACCCTGAGCCAATATGTTGCTCGCTTATTTTAATTGACCCGAGCCTGAAACCACAACACCAGAAATTTTTTATTAAAAACATTTATCAGCTACAACTTATGTTATATCTTCACCTAGAGCATAGTGCTGTAAGTTTTTCTTTAGTACAACTATTGAATATATCAATGGTTTATGACTCTTTAGTACAACTATTGAATATATCAATGGTTTATGACTCCTTTTTGAGCTGATTGTCAACCATGGTTGAAGCAAATAAGAAGCTAGGCGTGGGAGGCTTTAGATGTATAGGTTGGGGTGCAGTTACACCCTTGAAAAGTTACAAACTGCATTTGAACCCTTATAATATTTACAATTTGCTTCCCCCATAAATGTAAAATATTGCACCGAACCTATCTAAGAACACAAAATAACCTAGTAACAAATCGCATTAGCCCATTCAAAGTGTACCAAGTGCTTACCATCATGTATTATAGTTTTATTACATTATACTTTTATTTTTAGGTGAATAGATACTTGTTGTCCACCCTCCAAGAAGATCTTTCTGGATCTGCCACTGAAGCTGGGTAGTGTCAAATGTCAATAACAACATATCATTATATTACTCTAATCTAGCAAAGGTGTACTGAACATTATTGTAAAGTAGTTTTAGGAAATGTATGGGCCTGAGTTATATCATACTGACAATAAAGAGAACTAATATCCAAAGATTGAGATATATGGGGAGAATCATTTGCCTACTTTAAATTTTTGGGAACAAAAGAAGAAGAAGAAAGAATCGGTTCTCAGTCCAATTCATTTCATGCTTTTGTGTTCTTAATCGGGAATTTGCAGAACTATCCATACAACTAACACAGCAGTCATGATCCCCAACAACTGACCACTCAAGACAGGTATGCATATCTCCCAAATAAAGATATGAGAGTTTTTTTTCTTTCATTCTTCCTCCAAAGATTTTTGTGGTGACCAAATAAAATGGTCATCATCCAACATAGATACAATCCAAAACATTAATATTTACTGGAGGCTGACATATCAAAGCTCAAGATAATAATAATAATAGAATTCCCATAGAGGGCCCTACGAGAACGTCTCTCTTAGCACATGCTTTTTAAAATGGAATTATTGCTACAGAAAGAATTCAGATCATACTTAACTCAAAGCGCCAACACTAACTTATAAAGCCCACATTCACATGCATCTCTCTAAGAATCAATAAGACCCAAAAGAACCAAAATAGGGTTATTTGCACTTTAAGACTCTAAAGTTTCACCTATTTTATCTTTGATATTGCGAAGTCGAAGTTTTATTCTGATAATTTAATATCCCGAAATTATCAAATTGACAATAATTTGACAATCTGATTCACCAACTAATTAACTATGTTCCTTGTTTTCCCTCCAATCTCAAAAACTGAAAATAGGTAAGAAAAATTATTTCTCACTTATTTCCTTTTTGGAATGTTTTAACGTCAATTTTTTGTACTCAAGGGTAATCAAATTGTGAAAATCGAACTCACCAACATCCAAAAGAAGAAAACAGCTAAACTTTGTGTATTAAAGTGCAAATAACCCAGAAAAAATAAAATTTCTATTGAGATCTCAGAAAAAAGGAAAATGATTTAAGGACCCAAAATATGAGACCAATGGAGGGGACATATGAGGTGTCCCCTCCCTATTGCATAATAAGTTGGCCATGCCAACACATGTTAACTCATTATGCAATAAGGATGGGTCATCTCACGTGTCCCCTCCCTTGGTCCCATATTTTGGGTCCCGTACCAGCACTCCAGAAAAAATGAACTTGCCGCTGCGAGTGCCGTGACGTAATTTCTTAGTCAAGTCAAACAAAACAACCTCACATGCTCAAAAGCAGTCCTCACGTGACCTCAGCATTAAACGAAAAATTGCAAAAGCAACTCGCTATTTACCAAAAACAACAAAATCCTAAAAATAAAAATGAAAAAGATCCTAACTTTACCCGAAAGTGGCGAGCTGGGCGAGGAAAAAAGGATAATTCCTAAGCGGAATCAGCGCAAGCTTATTCAGCACACGATTCCCAGTCCCGAGCACCACCGTGGCAACAGCCGCCACCACCACCTCTGCCCTCTTCCTCCTCTCAGCCTCCGCCCCTCCGATCCTCTCCCCGATAGAACCCAAACAGCACACCACTTCCGATGAAGACCTCCTCGATCTCGACGTCGATCTAGATCCGGCGTCTACAACGATCCAATTACCAATGCTCTGCCGATGAGATCTCAACGGCGAGGCGGAGATCGCGACCCCATGAGGAACGGTGACCAGTTGACGGTGGGGCCGTCTCCGGAGAGTTTGGTCGTAGAGGGCTAGGGTTTGGATTTGGGGGCTAGCGTTCCGGCGACAGGAGAGAGACATCGCCGCCGACGAGAAAAGAATCGAGTCGCTCGTTGTTGGTCAAAGAGGCGAGAGTGATCGATTCGATTGTTGTTTATATAATAATGAGGAAATTTTTGAGTTGGGATCTGATCGTGGGCCCCACCGGTGAAGCGCCGACCCTTGCTTTTCCAGTGACAAGGATACTTTGTCGCTTTTTTCCTTGTGATCGGCTGTCGGTACGGAACAGCGTACAGGACGTTTGGGGGTAAGGATGATCCCGTGCAGACTTCTCAAAGGAAGTGGGGGTCCCAATATCCAGGGTAGGATTATGATTGTGACACTGACAGGCGCATTGAAGGGATCGCCGCATCCAAACGCTGAAATAGACCTTGCTTCGTGGCTTTAATATCACAAGACCCCTTTGACTTTGGATGATCATCATATAAGTTGGGATCCTCTATTAATACTAATATTGAATATTTCTTAATGAGAATTGTAAAGAGTTGGGAAGAGGGCTTACAGGGATGAGTAGAAAAATGAAAGGTCATGATGAAAATAAAAAACTAGGATCTCTTTATTAGGAGATCGTAGGAGTTTTTCATTAGTAGAGGATCTCAATCCTCATCACATAAGCTTCGATAGCTTTTAAAAAATATCAGAAAACTCACCGCGAGTTAGGAGTTATCAGAAAAAATGCTCTAGTACTTTAAAATTTCAATTAAAAAAAACTTTAATATTATTAACCATAATTTTTCATATGAGTGGATAAATTTTCAGAGGAAAATGTTTTCCAGTGAATTTTGTGATTCATATTTTCAAGGAGCTTTATGATAAAATCTTAAGAGTTAAAGAAGAGTTTCTTCAATAACCAGTAAACTTAAGGGGATTTTTCGTTATTTTTAAAGCTACTGATATTTTAGCATGTGCTAAGCATGGTCTTATCGCAATTCATCTATATTTTGTCGTGTTCCGATCACTCTTATCCGAATATAATTTTAAAAATATAATGACTCAACCCTTTTCGAAGCACGAAAACTCCACCCTCTCCCACATCCATTGACGTTAGATAACATGTCTCGCCTGAAAATGATAATACTAAACAATTTATATAAAACCATAATTATTTAAACTAATTTTTTCATAATAAATTAAAGTAAGATGTAATAATTTAAAATTTACTAAACTATTGGTACTATTTAACTCACTTCTAACTTAAATTAATTTTAAAAACTATCTAAAATAAAAAATTCCAATTAAATTTGCAATTTTGTAAACAAGTTTATTTGGGAATTTTTTTTAATTTATGTAATCTTTTAATAAATCAAAAATATATCTTCACAAATATTTAAAAACAAAAAATCCAAATCCAAATTATAAATTAGGAAACTAAATTATCTTTATAAAAATTTGATTTAAGTCATCATATTAAAAACAAAAAAATTCTCACATATATGAATTCACAAACTCTTGATTTACATAAATAATTTTAAATTCAACAAACTTTCACAGACTTATAAAATTAAAAAATCAAAATTTAGATTAATATTAGAAAATATATTTTATAATTTTTTTTAAAAAAATCAATATCTTTTATTCTAACATAATTCATATCAAGTCGATAAAATTGAACTAAAATATGCATCAAGTTAAGTTATGATTGAAAATAACTATTAGATATAAAAAATATTAAACATATTAAAATATAAATAAATACTCACGATAAATTTATATTAATTACGTGAATTATTTTCTCCAAGCAAGAAAAGCATCGTGCATTGAAGATTAAAAATCGTCGCTTCTTGTAGTTGTTTACCAGAGATAAATTAAAAATGTAATAGTTAAATGTTGAATACATTAAATTAAACATAATTATTCAAATATTATAGAATTAATACTAGAGAATTCTTTCTCCAAGTAAAAGTATCTTGGATCGTAGATGAAATATTACAGTAGCATGAACAATACTCTTTGAATTCTCCTTTAAGGGGCTGTTTGGTTCGCTATTATAAGGAGTGGAAAACTCAGAAAACCCCTCCACGTCAGATTTTTAGCCATCCACGTCAGCTTTTTTGTTTCCGTCCATTTCTTTGTCCCGCTTTGGTTCGCTCGAATGAAAGAGGGAAAACTCTGCTGAAATTGCCGCCAACTAAGATTTTTTTCCCTCTTCGATTTCCTTCCTCAACCAAGTAAAATTGATGAAAACTCTGCCACGTCAGATTTTTTCCTTCTCTGTATTGTTTACAAAAGTTTTCTTTTTTTTTCTATGCGAACCAAACACAAGAAAAATAAATACATTGGTTTCCCACCATTTTTTATGTGCGAACCAAAGCAAAACAATCTATTTCTTGGAAAAGTTTGGAAAACTCAAAACTTGTGTTTCTTTACATGGAATTACATTTCTCTATATCAAGGAAACGAACCAAACAACCCCTAAGTATAGAGAAGTAGATACGCTTTCTTAAAACAACTAATTAAATTATAGTCATTGAAATTTCAATCCTTTGGTTAGAAAAGTGAGAGGAGGAGATCCGTTCTTCTCCTAAGAGGAGAACAGACTACACACACACACACACACTATGTGGAATGCATGTGGTCAAAATTTTTAATTATTCACTTTAAGTTTATTTATTTACTATAATATCGTTATAAAAAAGTTTATAGTTATTATATTTCCATATGTAAAATCTTGTTAAATTTAACATTTTATCTTCTAGAGAAATAGTAATGTTTAAAACCTTAAAATATTACTGATTTAAGATTAGCAATTTGAATGTATGATTTCAAAATATTAATGATGTAAGGGACCAATATGAAAAAAAACTATTATTATTAATGAAGAAAATAAATTCTTGAATTCATCAAAAAATTGTAGGTTTTATCCAACCATTAAAGATTTTATTTAGTTATAAAAAAATCACTTCCAACTATTGTTTATCCAACGACCGAGTATTATATATACTCAAAAAAAAATTCTAGAATTTTCTAAGTTAGAATGAGCAAATTCAATCAAGAACGAAAACATAAATTATGTGATCAATTCCAAAATATGATATTGTACTCTTTTTACATCTCAACAACTATTAATTTATCTGTCAAAACAATTACTCTCTAGTTTCTAAAAATTATAAAATATACTTTGAGAATGATTTATACATATTATGCACTCATATTAATTGTAGTTTAACAAGATAATTCATATCCATCCAATGTCAAACAATATCAAAAAAAAATTGTTATGGAATTAGAAGAATACAGTTTCCACAACAATACTCATATCCGAGCTTTGAGCTTCATAAACTTAGAAGAATGTGAGTAATATAAAATGACAACTTAATTTACTTTATCCAATAATTTATTATAAATCATGAAAGAGGAGGGGAATCAGAAGAATCACATACATATCCTAAATAAAGATTAAGTTTCTCTTAGAGAAAATTGTTAGCCTTCTTGTTTTGATGATGTTTAACAAACAATTTACGACTAATGTTGTTTGTCTAGTATTTATGGTTTTCTATTTATTATAGATAAACAACATGTTGAGGATGGATGAAATTGCGCTATAACGATCATATCAAATGGAGGTTAGCGGAAATAGTGGTTGAAGCCTACGTAATTCAAAGTTAAAGATCCAAGTTTAAGATTTATCCGCAAGTGTACCAAGATAGAGCTTCGTTGAAGATCACAAGCTTGGGTAAATTTAGTTTTAGGTTTTATATTATGTGTGTTAGTACTTTAAGATCAATCATATACACACATACATGTTTTGGTTTTGTATATATAGTTATATATATACATATATGTTTTGGTTTGATAGTTTTCAAGTTTTAATATGAAACAATTGAATATAATTAGAAAACATATTTTTGTTTCATACTTACATGCATATATATGATTTCATCAATGTTAATTTTATTTAGTTTAATGAAATCATATTTACTTTTGAAATGTTTGCAAAATATGCAATTTTATGAAAATATTGTTTTCTTAGTTTATGGACTTAATAACAATCATATATATCTTTTATTAAGTCTATATAATCATTTTGTAATATTTCAAAACATGGTTAAGCTAAAATATCAAAACTCATATGTTTACATTTTTATGTTTTGGACTATTTTACAAAATAATGATATTTTTTATTTGGGAGGTCCTTTTTGAAAACCAGTTTTTGTAGAATATTTATTATCATGTCTACAATCATTTTTCAAAGTTTTATATTTTTGAAATTTATTTGATATTTTTAAACAGAGTTTTAAAATCAGAAAACAACTTTCAAAACCTAAAATTCATGTGTCAGTTTGCGGTCGACCACCATGGTCGACCGCCTTGAGTCCAGAGACTCAGATTGTGTTTTGCTGGCTCTCGGTTCTCACGGTTAACCGCCACGGTCGACCGGATGATGTCCAGAGCCCAGAATGAGTTTCTGGAGGTGCTCGCGATCGACCGCACAAATCTCACGGTCGACCGCCGAACTATCCATTGGATTCTAACGGCTAGTTCCAGCTCAGTTTTTCTGAGGGCTTTTGTGTCATTTCAGTGGGGTTTTTATGAAGTTTTTGAGTGGGTATAAATACCTCATTGCATTCAATTCTCCTACTAACAAAAAGAAAAGTTTAAACAAGTTTTTAAATGGTGTTTAAGTTTGGTTTAAAGCTTGTTTGGTTTGTGAAGAAGTTTTTACAAGTGGAGGAGATCATCTACATTGTTTGAGCTTCATTTTAATCCATCTCTCCATCTTGTTCTTCAGAGAAGAATTTCTAAACTCAATACTAGCTTTGCTTTAATTATTTGTTGTTTATCATTTTCATCAAGCTAGGGTTTACATTGAGTTTATAATTGATTTTCTCATTGCTTACACACACACAACCATTGAGCTTCTACTATTTTCATACATAGTAAAATTTGGGGTGTGGTGAGTGTATCATTGAGTTGTGCTTAATTAAGTTCTCACCTTATTTAGAGAACAATTATTTGATTTGTGAGCTTTAATTGTGAGGATTCACTTTGTAATACACCAGTACACTGAGAGGAGTGTGTGGTGAGAGACGGGGTCGAATCCAAGAGGAGTGGCATTGGTTGACGAACC